TTAAACATAATTTCAGCTAGCTGGCATAAAGAAAGGGAAAGACAAACCCAGGGAGAGAATGACAAAACATACGTCATGGTAAACGAAACACTGTCTCACATCGACACATATTAGAGCTACGTCACATCAACAGCTATAGAAAATTAATTTGCAATTACGTTACATTATGTGGAAGGTTCTCCACAATTTCATTATACACAACAATGTTCCATGACTTTTCCAGGTCTGGAAAGTGTAATTGTGAAAATCCATTACTTTTGCGAGTTTTCCATGATTGTGGGAACCCTAGGAACTGCTTTATTCAGTGTTTTTACCGTCTGAAATTACCTGGGGCCTCATGTACAAAGACTTGCGTGGATTTCTTACTGAAACATGGCGTACGCTTAAATCCAGAAAACGTCATAAGCATAAAAATATCCAGATGTATGAATCTGTGCGTACACATGAATCCAAGCACATTTCCTTTGTACATCCCAATCAACGCAGAATTGAGCGCACATGTTGGAGTACCCAGCCCCTCCCTGTCCACGCCCCTATTGAAATATGCAGATCATATTTAAATGAATCCTGCACCTAAGATTCCCCTCTCTGCATGATCAGAAAACTAAAACAAAAGAATGAGTAAGGCGGGGAAAAAGAAAAACTTCACAGAATGCGAATTGGAGACGCTCACTGAAGTGGAGGCGCACAAAAATGTACTTTTTGGCACGCTGTCCTCCGGCATCAATACAAAACGCAAGGTGAGTGAGTGGGAGAGTGTGTGTGAGCCTGTCAATGCTGTGGGGCCAGAAAAGCGTACCCACGCAGAATTAAAAAAGAAGTGGTTCGACATTAAGGTGGACGTGAAGCGGAGGAGGGCTGCCCACCGCCAAAGTGTGGCCAAAACAGGCGGGGGGACAGGACAGGAGGAGCTCACCCCGTTTGAACAGAGAGTCGCCTGGGGTCAATTGAAAGCAGACAAATAATTATGTGAACTGGATTTACAGTTTCCATTTGTTAATTTTATACACCACTTACACGGATCACACACTATTGTTGTAAATGAATGCAGAAGTGCACCGGGGAAAAGGTGTGGCTGATTAAGAAATGTCACACTTTACGCACGGGTTTATTGACATGAGTACTTTACACACAGAGACAATCAGGGGCTTGTTAGAAAGCTCTGAAGCTGTAGTTTAATGCTCAGTGCGCATCAGGGGGATTAATATTAGGACAATTAAATAAATTACTCACCAAGAAGGCACCCATCGCGCACAGTGCCAGCTTGTAGTCTGTTCCCAGCCATGCTGTTACTCAGAATGTATGGATCGTGCATGAAACCAGGCCACCTCGCCACAATGTTGATTAATTGCATTTGCGCATCACATATGATCTGTACATTGATCGAAAGAAATTGCTTCCTGTTGACAGAAACAAATTCATCCTGCGATGGCGCTTTTATACTGTAGTCATGTGTGTGCAGTCGATAGCTCCGATAACGTTAGGAAAACCGGCTGTCGTTGCAAATTGCGCTTTAATGTTGGCCTGTTCAGCTATGGGAATTTGATATACCTGGCTGACATGCGGATAATTCCGTCCCACACAGCTGGCATGGCTCGGCTCAGGGTCGACTGGCACTGTATGGATACAGGCAGCGCATGACTCCTCGCCGTATCGTGCTGCCGGCTGCAGCTCTGCGCACAGTTCCAGGAGGATTGGCCTCAGGAACCTAAAGCAGCTGATGAGCCAGTGCCATCTGTCTCTGAACACACGCTTTCTTCGTATTGCGCCATTTACAAATCTTCTACTACTGCTAAAGCATCCGTTGTTGTTAACGGTATTTTCGGCACCACTTTGCGCATGCTTTTATATCCTCTCATCTAATTGCAGACACGTAGCTGTGTTAATTATTCATCAGTGTTAATTGTTGATGTTTCTCTGATGTGCACATCACTCTGAGGACTAATTGTTTTCACATTTATTTATTATAACAGCTTCTCAGCATCACCTCTGTGTCGCCCAAGAATCAACAGCTGTAGAAACGTGCGTACGCCAGCCATGAAGTTGGCGTGAGGCACCGCACATTTCCACGGCCATTTCACTCTTGATACATCTGGACTTTGCCGTGGAAAAGGACGTACGCCACGTTTTTGTGCGTACGCACCCTTTGTACATGAGGCCCCTGATGATTTGGCTCATGGTATAAACTTTGAGAATGTCTGAATCTTAAGTTGTCCAAGAAAACAGGTGAGCAACTGATAGCAAGAGCTAGGTTAGCAGCCCATGTGCGGCACGCCAAGCAGTGTTAGAGAAACACTGATTTGTAGCGTGAAACTGCTTTAATCAGTGTTTTTACAGGTTTAAATCAGCTGGTCTGTTTGTTTTCAAGAAGAAGAGACCTCTGTAGATAATTCAGCTCCCGATAAAAACCTTCTGAACAATGAACACTGAAGGAATTCTAACCAGGAGAAGTTTCAGCTGGTTGCAATCTGCAGTCCTCACCACTAGATGTTACTATTTCCACTTAAATCATGCACACTGTACCTTTAAATAAAGATCTGTGTACTTAACAACTGGTAATATGTTTCAGGAGCACAGGGAAAACATGGAAACACATTTTCAGCCGTTCTGTAAAAGCAGACGGCTGTCTGAAGCTCTGAAAATGTGATTGACTGTGATTCTGGGTAATTCTGCTAATATCATTAAAAAACAGAGTGGTGTCAAAGGTCTGCATCAGTCAAAACATCATTGTTTGTCTGTAACAGGCTCTGCTGTCTGAACTGTGGTTGTCAGCGATTACATATATGAGCATATTAAACAGGAGAAAGACAGAAAGATCACTAACGAGCTCCGTGGTTGTTACCACGAGAGACGTCAAAGAAACAAAGTGATGTTTTTTTAATAACACGGAGCTCTTCATGCTCTGAGGGACTCATCAGCGTGCCTCAAAAGCATCTTTCACCAATTAGACCATGAGAACAAGACTACAGGTTGTTGGATGCAATTTAGATGCACATCAGGGTTTGGGATGAACGGCTTTCTCGTTTCATGTTCCACCGGCAGCGCCTCGTGTTTGATTTCACCTCCATTAACAAATAAATTGTTTATTCTTTTTCTTAAGGTCGCTATAAATCTAATCATGCTTCAGTGTTCTCCTCCACATGCTCCCCTCAATCTTCAAAGGTTTATTCAATTAAATCTTTAACGGGAAACAACACACACTCTGCCAGTTTAAGATGTGTTAAATCAGACTGATGCTACAAAAGAGATCAAGGCCACTCAGAGAGCTATCAAGAAAACACATTCAAGCTGCTAATCAGTTCAACAGCCTTGAAAAGATGATCATTAGAAGACTTGAACATCTTTGATGATCTGGTGCCAGATTTGAGCTCCATTTAGAAAATAGATTTATTTGAAGCATATTTATGTTTGCAAATATAAATGATTCACTGAATACAAATGTGATATTTATTCAGAGATTCCATCAAATAATTAAGATCAATCAAGTGTAAGATAATAACAGAGAGGAACAGCGGCAGAGAACTAGAGAGGTTTAAATGTTGTGTTGTCTGTTCTGGCCCTGAATGCATCACGAGACTAAAGGGAGCCTGGAGACTGAAGCAGCAACATGACCAGCCCTCTAGCTGCACGACTCCCTCACCATACCTACATGTATGTCCACGATCAGCCCCTTTGGCCTGGAGGCAAAAGTCCTGACGAAATTGCTAAGTTAGCTATTAGCGGAGCTGGTTGTCTGAATAACAGGAACGCAGTAGCTTAAGTGACAGGAAACACCTTTTAATGTGTATGGGAAAGCTGTAGGTGTGTCAACTGATACTGGTTGTTTGTCAGTCACTATAAATTGTCATGATGTGCTAATCCTTTGTGAGTAAACCCTCAACGTCCAATCCTACGTGTTTTGAGTCTTGTTATTCCACAACACTATGAAGTCTTACATCAAAAGAGAGACGGTTTAGGTTTGGGTAATGCCAGATTCAGACTACACGATATCAGCCCAATTATAGCCCAACGTGGCCGTCATAAGGTGTCGGCCCTGATCGTGGATGACAGTGAGTGTCATATGCAATAATCCATCTTTTTATTTTGTGTCGTGTGTCATAGTAGATGACAAGTGATACCATGTATGGGATGCCTCAGGGAGTCCCAACAGGAAGTCTAGCATGTTTGATTTTCTTGTTGTCCTCTATTACTTCTCCTGTCACAGCCGTCACTTTGACCAATAGGAACACAGAGCAAACTGCTGCTCTTCTCATGCTAATGCTAAGCTAGCGATTAGCTATAAATTATTTGGTTAAAAGAGAGATGGTTATGGTTATGGTTAAGGTAAGGGTAAAGGGAAGGGTTACATCGGGCTACTTATGCTAATGCTAAGCTAGCGATTAGCTGTAAATTATTTGGTTAAAAGAGAGATGGTTATAGTTAAGGTAAGGGTAATGGGAAGGGTTACATATAGCTTCTCATGCTAATGCTAAGCTAGCGATTAGCTATAAATTATTACGTTAAAAGAGAGGTGGTTAAGGTTAGGTTAGGGTAATGGGAAGGGTTACATCTAGCTTCTCATGCTAATGCTGAGCTAACGATTAGCTATAAATTATTACGTTAAAAGAGTGGTGGTTAAGGGTAGGGTAAGGGTAATGAGAAGGGTTACATCTGGCTACTTATGCTAATGATAAGCTAACAATTAGCTTTGAAGTCCTACATTAAAAGAGAGGTGGTTCAGGTTAGGGTAAGGGTAACGGAAAGTGTTACATCTTGTTATGTACAAAGTGAATCATGCCTTAATGTATTATAAATTATAAAGTGGATTATTGCTACATTTGATCTCATCTCTTCACCACAGTGTAGTGTTGTAGAACGCTTCTACAACAACCGTCATGTTGGTGGGTTCGTCTTGTACCAGCGGTGGATGCGATTCACGGGGGCACATCATGTACGCTACAAACAGAATATGTCTGCAGCTTTACGTGTCTCAGCTGCTCGGGTGTGTTGACAGGACGTACCTTCTGGATGGTCTCCAGCATGGACCAGCCTCCGTTCCACGGCTTGGTGGACTTCCTGATGCAGTTGAGGCTGGCCATACTGTGCCACTTCCTGTCCTCCAACTTCCTGTAGAAGGCATTGGCCAGCATCAGCACACTGTCATACAGGTAGAGGTTGGACACCTGGAGAGAAGGGGAGACAGAGGAGAGCTTAAAAAAACCCCACTGCTTTATGTGATTCACACAAAAAGGATTTGTCTCAAGATGTCAACAAGAAAAGAAATAAATGTGAACAGGACTGCAAAACAACAAAACAAAATTAATCTCTCACAATCATCACTAATGACCCATTAGAAGTTCTGTTCTGTTCTGTTGGGAAACCTTGGGTTCTGACATTCATGTGGTTGCCACCTGACACGCTCCACCCACCTAAACACCAGTGCAGATCAGGTACCCCCCAGTTATGGCAACGGTTATGGCAGTGGCCCCCCAGCAGAACAACGCACCATGCCACACCACAAAAACTGCTCAGGAATGGTCCGAGGAACGTGACAAAAAGCTCAAGGTGTCAACCTGTTCTCCAAATTCCCTGGGTCCTCATCTGATCAAACATCTGTGGGACACGCTGGTACCCCATCTCACAACCCACAGGACTCAAAAGATCTGATGGTAACGCCCTAATGTCAGACACCAAAGGACACCCTCCAGAGGTCTTTGACAGGTCAGAGCCAAGTCCGGTCCAAGGAGGACCCACCATGGATCAGGGGTACCTCTGGGGTACCAGCAGGTCCCTCTAATGTTTTATCAGGTTGGGATCTGGGATAATTGGAGGTCAGGTTGAAGCCTTGAGTTCTTTGTCCCGTTCCTCAGGTCATGCCTGAGCAGTGTTTGTGGTGTGGCATGGTGCATTGTCCTGCTGGGGGGCACTGCCATCGATACACGCTGTTGCCATGAAGGGGTTTATTTTGTCTGCAACGGTGTTCAGGTGGGTGGAGCATGTCAAGTAGCATCCACATGAATGCCAGGAACCAAAAGTTTCCCAGCAGAACATTGTGCTGTAACAAGATGATCAATGTTATTCACTTCACCTGCCAGTAGCTTTAATGGTTTGGCTGATTGGTGTATATATTACGTTTCTTCTCATAAACCAACACAGACCAGCAGGTCCATCTTCTCTCTCTACGTGCTTCAGCCTTCCACTCATCCAAAGCAAGTACTCCACCTTGTGCCGACATATTACCTCCAAGGATATTCGGTGTCATAGCAACCAGATGCAACCTGTGTCTCAGCTGAAAAAAAGCTGCGTCTCCAAAGCGCTCTCAAACGCTCCCTGCTGGCTGTTTCATTAGGAGTGTTTGACATTTTCAGCTGGGAGAACAATGCTGTGGTGGACATGGGACCTTAAGATTTCCTCTTACAGTTAAGGGTGTAGCAGCTCGAACTGCATCTCATCGTCAGTCCAAAAAGTCACGGCTCTGGATGTAGATTTCTCCATGTTGTTACCGGCGTCTTCTTTTCTTACACATTTAATGCTATTGGAGTTCCGGGTCAAAGCCAGGGGCGGAAACTGTGGAGCATGCTCAGAGCGCCTCGGCCAGTTTGGGTCTGATTGACTGTATACGTGCAGGAGTCACATGATCTGGGTGTGTTAGTCCCACTGTTCACTTTAGGACCATTTCAGTCACACTAACACGTTTACATGGATTTTAAAAGTCCAGTTTTAGTCAGACTGACACAATAAATGGAGCTTCTCTGATGCCATGTAAACATACGAGTGTGACGTTAAAGTAAATTTAAAATAAGCTTTAACATCGTCTTTGTGTGTTTTAATATAGGGACAATACTGAATAAAAACAGCACTTGAAACATCACACACACACACACACACACACACACTGGATGGAGTTGAGATGACAGTCAGCTAGTAGCCAGCCTGTCTACATGTGATCATGTGCTCTCTCACCCTGGGCTGCAGAGGGCAGAGGAAACACACTATGACAAATCACACACACACGCACGCCAAAGCAGGGAGCAGAGACCAAATGCAAGGTGACAAATGAGCATCATTGTGTCCAGATGAGTACAGCTGACTGGCACACACACACACACACACACACACACACACACATACACACAGATAAAGCATTTATATTCCCCCTGTCATCCTCTTTTGTCATGGAAAGACTAAATCTGAAGAGAACATATTTATATGACAAAGATGGAGACGGGAGAAAAGAAAATCTGCAAAGATCTGTGTATTCTGAAAAGCTACAATCTGTGACCCAAATGTAAAACACGTAACTGGAGCGTGCTGTCACTCCTGAACTGCTGTTTGAATTCAGACACAAACGGCAGACAACAACTATAAATCTGTCATCAGTAAAATACAGGTTGGGCCTGAGATCTGTCATGTTTACTGAAGATGCTGCTGCAGACAGTTTACATGCTCCGCTGCTGATAATGACGTGTTGAAAGTGTTGACAACAACAAACTGTTTGACGCAGAAGCTTCAGGGCTCGTGGCCAAAATATCATGTTTCACTAACGTAGCTCAGCGTTTCTTTTCTCCCTCTGACAAACAGATTGAGTCAAAACAAAAGAAAAAGCACTCGTTAATTTGGGTCAACAGGACTAACATCTGTTCTGTTGTTTTGGTACAGCGAGGGAGGATTTGTCTGGATCTCCTGTATTTTCAGTTTTAGATTAAAAACTAAGGTTGACAACATGGCATATTAGAAAAGTAGAACTACCGCCTCGTGGTTGTATGACTCCGCCCACCAGCCCAGTGTCTCCATCCATGTCAGTGAAAACATGGATGCTTCACACACAGAAGATCTATACAATCAGCACAGTTTCAAGATTAGAGTCACCAATTCAGTATTTGACCAAATGTCTCCCCTTCTGTTCCTGAGATATGACGTTAAAACATGATGATGTCACAGTCAAGCTGACCTTTGACCTTTTCAATATAAAATGTCATAACTTCATCGTTTTATCCTGTTAGTCATTTGTGTCAAGTTTTGCCATAATTAGTGTAGGAATTCATGAGTTATGGCAAAAAGCACATTTGGTGAGGTCATAAAATCTGGTCTGGCCTTGACCTTTGACCTTCAGTTTATTCTTCAGTCCATGTGGACATTTGTGTCAAATGTAAAGAAATTCCCCTCAGGTGTTCTTTAGATGTTGTGTTCACAGGAATGGGACAGATGCAAGGTCACACTGACCTTTGATCTTTGACCACCAAATTCCAATTTGAAGAGATTCCCTCATAGTGTCCTTGAGATATCACATTCACAGAAATGAGACGCGACAAAGGACACAGTGACCTTAAACTCTGAGCACCAAATTCTGATCACTTCATCCCTGACTCAAAGTGGATGCTTGTGCCAAAGTGAAAGAAAATCTGCCATCACGTTCATGAGAATGAGACAGATGCAAGGTCATATTGACCTTAACCTTTGACCACCAAAGTCTAATTGTTGAGTCCAAGTGGACGTTTGTGCCAAATTTAAAGAAATTCCATTGAGTTGTTCTTGAGATATGTTCACAAGGATGGTACAAACATACGAAGAACACGGGAAAATCCAGGTATTCTTCAGTCATCATGTTCACAAGAATGAGACAAATGAGGTCACATAGACTTGAGCTTTGACCTATGACCACCAAAATCTGAGCAGTTCATTGTTGAGTCCAAGTGAACGTTTGTACCAAATTTGAAGAAATTTCCTCAAGCTGTTCTTAAGGTTTTACATTCCCAAAATCAAATGAGACAGATGCAAGGTCACACTGACCTTTGATCTTTGACCACCAAATTCCAATTTGAAGAGATAAAGAGAAACAAGACAGACAAGGACACAGTGACCTTAAACTTTGAGCACCAAATTCTGATCACTTCATCCTTGACTCAAAGTGGATGCTTGTGCCAAATTTGAAGAAAATCATCCATAGTGTTCTTGATATATCACGTTCACGAGAATGAGACAGATGCAAGGTCATATTGACCTTAACCTTTGACCACCAAAGTCTAATCGTTGAGTCCAAGTGGACAAAATTTAAAGAAATTCCGTTGAGATGTTCTTGAGATATTATGTTCACAAGAATGGTACGAACATACGAAGAACATGGGAAAATCCAGGTATTCTTCAGTCGTCATGTTCACAAGAACGAGACAGATGAGGTCAGATAGACCTATGGCCACCAAAAACTAATCAGTTCAAGTGAACATTTGTGCCAAATTTGAAGAAATTTCCTCAAACTGTTCTTGAGATTTTGCATTCCCAAAAATCAAATGAGATGGATGCAAGGTCATGGCAGCTTTGACTGTTGACCTATGACCACCAAAATCTGAGCAGTTCGGTATTAAGTCCAAGTGAACGTTTGTGCCACATTTGAAGAAATACCTTTGAGGCATTCTTGAGATATCATGCTTACAAGGATGGTACAAACATACGTAAGGACAGACAACCCGAAAACATAATACCTCCGGCCACAGCTATCGCGGGCGTGGAGGCATAAAAATGATAAAGGCTGACAGAAACCTCAACACTGTGCTACCTGCTTCTTCTTCGTCTTCTTCTTCTTCTTCTTCTTGACTACACAAAACATTCATGCCATTCATTGTTTTCAGCCTCCACTCCACCAGTAAGACGAAAAGCAGAGACTGAAGGAGTGAAGACGTCTCTGGTTTGATTCCAGACAGTCACTGCTCATATTAAACTTGATCATTTTCAGCTTTAGTTCCTGGAAAATGTTTCTGTCCTGTAAATCTGATCTGTTCCCTGAACAGAGTGAATGTCTCCATCCAGACAACCTGCTGACAGCGTCTGACGACTGGACGCTCTCTGTCCTCCGTTAGGGAAGGAGCCGGGGGGCGAATGACATCAGTGAACATTTAACCCTGTTTTGCATGAATTATTGAGACAAATGTCCTCCTCTACCTGTCTCCCCGAGGGCCTCAGGTGAGGACTGAGAGGTTTAACAAAGGTCAAGGAGAAGGAGAAGACAGGTGAGAGACAGATGGAGGACAGGGAGACATGAGGTGGGAATGTTTAGGTGGTGCGGAGAGAAGATGGCTGTATAGAGAGGAAAGAAACATAAGCAGGTGAAAACAGGAAAAAGAAGAGCAGGGGAGGAAAAGGAATAAAAGGAAAAGATGGAAATGAGAGATAAAGAGACTGAAAATAA